ATAATACTTCTATGAAAACTGGTGTACAAATCTCCATTTGCACCTCAGTTCTCACTTTCTTGGGGTATATTCCAAGCAGTGGAATAGTTGCATCACATGGAATTTCTATATTCAACTTTTTGCGAAACTCCAGCAGGTTTTTAGAGGTAGTAAGGCTCATGGGAAGGGAATTCCCATCTTTTGCCGATGAAGTAGCTGGTGGATTTGAACTGTGGGCCTTTGGGTTGGCAGCACAGCTCCTTACCAGTAGGCCATGAGAGCTCTTTCTCTCATCCTACACATTGTTATCACTAAGTGCAAATGACTATGAACAGTGGGTCTGAACCCTGCCCTCCCCATGCCGTCCTCCCGTGTCTGATATACTCGAGCCACCACGACAGTCACTGTGTCAAGTCATCTTGTTGAGGGTCCCCCCTCCTTTGCTGGTACTTTACCTTTCCAGGTATGAGATCCTACATGAAGTGACTTCAAAATGAAAGTTAATAAACATTTCCAGTTTTTACTATAATTGGTTGTTCCTGTCACTTCAGGTCAGATGTGGCTTCAGGTCAGTAGCTTTTGGAATGAGTACCCTACTTTTGAATGTGACAGGTCCACCCATCCAACCTGCAGGGCCAGGACTTGCCTTCGACTATGAGTAATCGATACAGTCAGGCTGCCCTCTAGTGTCCAGCACCTCATCGCTTAGTAACTCTAAAAAGGGCCGCTCTCATTTGCAGTGAGCCCGTGGTGGAGCAGTGGCTTCTGCCGAGACACTAACCAGAAGGTCAGTGCTTCCACAGGGGAAAGATGGTCAATTCTCTTCTCCTTCGAGATGAAGGGTCCCTAGGAATCACCAGAGCCGCAACAGCCGGGGGTTCCGTTTGGATCCAAATACAATACAGCAGAGGACACAGAATTGTCAGAACTTTCTCAAATAAAGCACCAGCAGGTACCCACAGCATAAAAAGAGTTGAGCAACTAAAAGGCCATAAAATGATACAAATTTTTAGCTGATAATTGAACTTACATTATATTCTATGTAAATCATGGCCACTTGTCCCTGAATCTAGTTAGTGCTTTAAATGTGGCTGGTGGAAACTGAAGGGAGCATCAACATAAGGCGTTGTGTTACCAACCCAAAGGCTAGAGGTTCAAATCCACCAGCTTCTCTGCTGGAGAATGATGGGAAATCTCGTCCTGGTAATCAACGGCTTCTGAAAACCACTGGACGGTCACCTATGAGTTGGTTCTGATCTGACTGTACACATACAACGGACACTGATAGGGAAGCAAGGTATCAAATAATGACCACTCTTGAATTCCACTTCCTCACAGGTGGCCTAGTGGTAAGGAGTCATGTTCTCAACTCCAAGGCACACAGTTCAAATCCACCAGCTCTTTCACAGGAGAAGGATGAACAATCTCTTCCTGCAATTTACTGCCTCTGAAAACTCACTGCAGTCAGCTGAGTCGTGTCCCTTCCTACCCACCACCAGCACCACCACAATGTGGCCAGTAAGTGGGAAGTGACTCATAGCTGACCGTCTTGTGGGTTTTCAGAGACTGTAAATCACATGGCCGGATACTGTTCATCTTTCTCCTGATGGCTTTGAACTACCAGAGGCACTGGCTTTGGGTCAACAGTGAAACTCCCAAACGCAGGTTATCATCATGAATAATTTCTATTGATTATGTGTTGAAATATTTTGGATGTTGTTGCTGTGAGGTGCTGAGTCCACTACAACTCACGACCACCTTACGAACAGATGTGAACCCTGGTCCACCCTCATGATCTCTCAAATGCTCTAGCCCCTTGTTAGTCACCGTGTCACCCCATCTCACTGAGGGTGTTCCTCTTTCTCTGACCCTCTACTTTTCCCAAAAACTGGCCCCTCCTGACAACATAAGGTATATAAGATTAATACATTTGGTCAGGGTCCTGGCCTTTTAAGTTCCTCTTTCCAGGTTGCCTAAGAGACATTACAAATACTATCAGCATCCTCTAAGCAGTCTTAGGACTTTAGGCTCTTATAGTTATGCTTTTCTCTAGTTGACTAACCTGGAATACAGATCTTGTCTTTTCAGAAATCCTGATGATTCAAAATATCAACTCAAAGGCTATCACGTTTATTTAACTAGCATTTGTCTCAGAAGAGCTCATTGTAGCCTGACACTACATTTTTGGCACTACGGACAGCAGGCAAAAGGATAATAGATTAAGGCATATTCTTACAAGCGAATACTTCAGCAACCTGTTTGTTTGTTTCCTTACTTTAAAAGGAGGTAGAAGTTCTTTATGGAGGTTGTTTCTAAGGATTAGATGAGGTAAAGTGCTTTTGGTACATCTTTACTATCACTTACTAACATGTCGATATGAATCTCAAAAATGGAGCTTAAAAAACAAATTGTATGTGTGGCTACTCATACAGTGTAGAAATATGCAATTCAAAGCAACTATTCAGAAGTTTACTGATAGGTCACTAATTGTTGTTAGATGCTGCTGAGTCGCTTGAGATTCATAGTGACCCTATGCACAATAGCTGAACCCTGTCCTATCCTGGGCCATTCTTACTGCCTCCAACATACCTGCCCCTACTGCCCCCTATTATTGTCTCAATTCATCTCACGCAGGGTCTTCCTCTCCTGCATTGTCCCTCCACTTTTCCAAGCATGATATCTTTCTTTAAGGACTGGTCCCTCCCGGCCACATGACCAAAGTATGTGTGTGAGATGAAGCTTCAAAATCCTTGCCTCCAGAGAGCAACTTGGTTCACCCTTTTCTAAACAGATGTTTGTTATTTTGGCAGTCAACACTCTTCTCCAGCACCGGAACTTGAAGGCATCAATTTGCCCAGCTCTCGATGTATAAAAAGTAACTGAGAATACCATAGCCTGCATCAGGTGCACCTTAGTCCCTAGACTGACATCTTTGCACTTTAGCACTCTGGAGAGGTTCCTGACAGCACACTTTTCCAATCCAATTTGTCTTTAGATTTCTTGGCTGCTGATTCTGAGTGTTACCTGCCTGTGGACGTGAACAAGCTGAAATTGTTAACAATCTCAATCTCTTCTCCATCTATGATGATCATCTATCATCTATCCAATTGGCCCAATGGTGAGAATCTTTGTTTTCTTGATGTTCAGCTTCAATCCATACTGAAGGTGATGGTCCTTATCTTTCCGCAGCGATGTTGCAGGTCCTTCTCAGTTTCAGCAAGCAAGGTTGTATCACTTGCATAGCACAAATTGTTGATGAGTCTTCCTCCAATTTGGATGTCACGGTGTATTAAAATTTCCATGTTGAAGATTTAGGCTTTACTTCTAGAATTTAACATGATAAATATATAATGGGAGCTCTGTAAGACTTTTTTTTTGGCTGTTGGCGGGTATTTAAGTTTTTATCTCTGATATATCCCATCAAAGCAACAAAAACTAAAAAAAAAAAAAATCCACTCAACAAATTCTGGTGTAAAGCCTTGGTTACTGCTCTATGTCACAGGTGCTAAGGAGGAAGATGGAGGAATTGATGCCTTTGCATGGTGGTGGTGATGATAAAGAATATTTGGCTCTACCATGAACAGCCAAAAGAACACCTATGTCCTAGAAGCAGAGTAGTGGGAATGTATCTTAGCAACAAGGGGGCACCAACCCTGGGGAAAGATCATGCTTGGTTGAGGGTTGGCCAAAAAAAAAAAAGGAAGACGCTCAGTGAGAGAGAGAGAAACACAGCGTTTGCAACAATGAGTTCAAGTACAGCATAAACTGTGAAGATGACACCAGGACAGGCCATCCCTTCTGCTGTACACATGGTTGTTATGCTGTTGTAGTTGTTGTTAGGTATTGTCGAGTAAACTACAACTCATTGCAGCTATGAACAAGGATCTGAAGTGTGTTGTCTTTTGTTTACTGCCTGTCTATATGCCTATTTACAAACGAGTCCTCATCAAGAAAGAGGAAGACCAAAGAACCACCTCTGAACTGTTGTGCTGGCCAAGGATATGCAAACACCATGGACTGCCAGCAGAACAAACAAATCTGTCCTGGGAGAAGTGCAGGAGGAGCGAGGAGCGAGGACCGTGAGACTTCATCTCACATATTTCGGGCATGTTACAAGGAGGGGTCAGTCCCCGGAGAAGGACATCAAGCTTGAAAAAGACCGCATCACTAAAGTTAGACTCTCGAGACGGACTGACACAGGGACAGCCACAACGGCCAGGAGGGTGAGCATCAGGCAGGCTCTCCTTCTGTTGTACATAAATAAAGTTACTAAGAGTTGGAAGGAGCTCCAATCCCGAAGGCAAGCCCATCATATGGTCCCCGGGAGAAGGATGCGCAATCTCCACCCGCACAACCCTCTGAAAACCCGCCGTGGGGTCTGCTATGGATCAGTTCCCATGCACTTTCTGCAGCCCAGCTTTAGGTCTTAAAAGATATCAGGTGGTGTAGCTCAGAAAACAAGCTGAGAACATCCCCTCGATCACCCAGGAAAGTCTCCCTTCCGTAAACCCTCAACTTCCTTCCAGAATGGAACCAGAAACATCCACTTCTCCCGGATTACCCCCTCAGTCGCTGCAGGAAGTCTCCCCTCAGCAAAGCCCCCGAGTATTCCTTGTACTTCTTTTTATTTTAATTTTTCTTTTTTTATTCCTTGCACTTGTAACATCACAACCAGCAGCCAAGACCCAGGACAGATAGTCCTCCCAAGATGACTTCCGGCTAGCAGCAAAGCCACGCCCATTCCTTCTGACACACTTCCGGTTCACTTCCCCTCTTCTCCGGGAGAACTCGCCGGCAAAAGCCTCCACGCATGCGTCAACGCGGGGAGGGCGGGCTCAGTCTCTTCCCGCGCTCGCCTGGGTCTCGCGATATTTCCCCTTCCCCGCGGGACTGATTTGAACTGTCTGGCGGTAACCCCGCCCCGGGGCTTCGAAGAGCTCGGCGGCCGGCCTGCGGGTGTCCGAAGGGACTCTGCGGATACTCTGGTTGTTTGTGGACCGAGCACATCTGACCCCGGCGCCATGGGAGCGGAGAAGAGGCTGCTGTCCATCAAGGAGGCCTTCCAGCTGGCGCAGCAGCCGCACCAGAACCAGGCGAAGCTGGTGGTGGCTCTGAGCCGCACCTATGGCACGGTAAGCGCCTCCGGGCGGGGGTGTGTCCTCCCCGGCCCGCTTCCGGGGGGACCTGGAGTCCGCGGAGAGGTCCGGCGATGGCCTCGGGCCGAATCCCGGGGGCGCATCCCGGGGGCCGGATCTCCGGGGGCCGAATCCGGGGGGCGTATTCCGGGGGGCGCATCCTGGGGGACGAATCCCGGGGGCCGGATCTCCGGGGGCCGAATCCGGGGGGCGTATCCCGGGGGACGAATCCCGGGGTCCGGATCTCCGGGGCTCATCCCGGGGGACCGGATCTCGGGGGGTCGCATCCCGGGGGGTCGCATCCCGGGGGAATCGCATCCCGGGGGGCGCATCCCGGGGGGCGCCGTTCCCCCCGCCACGGCTGTCCCCGGTCGAGGCGCGAATCGTCGTCGTCGGATGAGCTGCCTTCGAGCCCCGAGGCCGCCAGGCGTCCAGCCTCCCAGCGGGTCCTCGCTCGACTGGTGTAGTCCTTCTGGTCATCGAGGCCGCGGGGCGTCCAGCCTTCCAGCGGGTTCGTCTGGCTCTGCAGGTGTTGTCACTTCTGATCACCTGTCACCCTCAGCGGGAACCTCTCAGCCCCTTTGTACGGCCCCCTCCCCAACGCGGGGGTTGCATTCAAGGCTCCAAATAGCAGATTAATCATCAGAACCGGGTCTTGGCCGTTCAAGTAGACACTGTTGGTTTTGAGGACATTTTGGGAAGAAGGAAAGTTAATCTGCGCACAAAATGACCCCTTAGAACAGAGTACAACGACCTCGTTGTTAAATGCTTCATAGCGACCCAGTGAACAGATCTGAACCCTGTTCTAACCCTGTGCCATCCTCACACTTCCAGACACACTGGGGTCCATTGCTGCGGCCACTGTGCCAGCCCACCTCCTTAGGGGTCTTACCCTCTTTCACTGACTCTCCCCAAGGAATAGCCGCTCCTGGCAACATTCCCAGAGCAAGTGAGAGGAAGCTTCATCATCTTTATCTCCAGGCTGCTGCTCCTCCTCCAAGTCATTGGAGAAAAGTTAGTTCTTCTTGCAAGTTCATGGAAAATTCAGTACTTTTCTCCAACACCACAGCGCAAAGTCATCAATTCTGTCATTCTTATTTCTTGTCCAGCTCCGCTACATAGTAAGTAACTGAAAAGACTAAATCAGGTGCACCTTAGTCTTCAAGCGGACATCATTGCTCTTCAGTAGTGGACTTTTCCAGTGCAGTACGTCTCCTGATTGATTTCCTGACTGCTGGTCTCGAGGATGTTGATTGTGGATCCAAATAAGATGAAATCATTGACAACCTTCATCTTTTCTCCCATGTGTAATGATGTTGCTTGTGGATCCGGTGGTGAGGATTTTTGTCTTTTTGATGTCGAGGTGCCATTCATGTTGAAGGTTAAGTCACGTCTCTCACAGTGGTTTCTAAGACTGAAGTCAACTGACTTTCCCCTCACTGAGCACCTGATGGGTCCCCTCCCCAGGCTTTGGGTTAGTAAGCTGAGAGCATTACCCACAGTACCACGAGTCTTCCTGCTTTGTGAAGAATTACTGTTAGGCAATTGATGCCTTTGAGCTGTGATGCTGGAGAAGAGCATTAAATATACCTTGGGCTGCTAGGAGAAGAAACAGGTTCGTCCTGGAGAGAGTGAAGCCAGGCTGCTCCTGGGAGGCAAGGATTCTGAAGCGTTGTCTGACATACTTTGGACATGTTGTAAGGCGGGACCAGTCCTTGGAGAGGATGTCATGCTTGGGAGGGTGGAGGGACAGCACAAAAGAGGAAGACCCTCCATGAGATGGATTGATTCCATGCCTGGGGGGCTAATGGGGGTAGGTGTGTCAGAGACAGTAAGGTTGGCTCAGGATAGAGCAGGGTTGAGGGCCATTGTACAGAGTTGCTATGAGTCGCGAGTGACTTGATGGCATATAACAACAACAAACAACAACATCATGGACTCAGTGATGGACAGAGGAAACGTGCCAGACCCTGTGCCATGCCCCTGATTTCTGCTGTCCCATCATGATAGCCACTATGGCAGTCCTCCCTTTCAGGGTCTTCCTGTTTTTCGCTAACCTCTCCTTTACCACCCTGGTCTCTAAGGGGTACCCTGACTCCACTTCCCCCAAGACTTCTCCTGGCAGCCCATAGGCATCAGTTCTCCTTCTATCATCCCTAGTCATTGTCCAGGTTTCTGATGCATGGCATGTAATTACAAAGACTGTGGCTTGAATCAGGCACACCTTAGTCTCCGGATTAACATTGTTGCTCTTCAGTACTCTGGAGAGGACCCTGACAGCAGACTTTCCCAATGCAATTTGTCTTTTAATTTCCTGGCTGCTGGTACCAAGAGTGTTGATTGTAGAGCTAAGCAAACTACAGCTATTAATAGTCTCAGTATCTTCACTGTCATGATGGTGTCAGTCAGCCCAGTGGTGAAAATCTTGGTTTTCTTGATGTTAATTGAGTTTTAATCCGTATTGAAGGCTGCAGTCCTTGACCTTCTGCAGCAAGTGCTTCAGATCCTCTTCATTTTTAGGAAGCAGGGTTGTGTGGTCTGCGCAACAGATTGTTGATGAGTCTTACTCTAATCCTGATGCCACATTCCTCCTTGCAGAGCCCAGACTCCCAGATGATTTGTTTTGCATATAGATTGAAAATGTATGGAGAATAGGACACATACCTTAAAAAAAAGTAAAATAATCAGAAAACAAAAAATAAGAGTAGGTGTATATGTGGTAGACAGTACCCCAACATACATACCTAGAGTATAAATGAGACAGTGCTTTTGACTACAACACACAAAAAACCCTGCCTGATCCTATACCAATACCTTAGTCTCTGCTGTGCTTAGTAAGTTCATTGTCGCAGTTAATGTACCAGTTTGTCTCACTGAAAGTCTTTCTTTCGTCACCTACTTTTCTAAACATGATGTTCTTCTCCACAGATTGGCTCCTAATAGCATACCTAAAGTTTTTGTGACAGTATCTCATCATCCTTGATTCTCAGGAGCACTCTGGCTGGCCTTTTCCCAAGACAGGGTTTGTTTAGCAGTCTGTGAGGTACTCACTTTTTGCAGCACTGCAGCTCAGGAATTCTTTGACCTTCCTTGTTCTACTTTTACACAATTGAAAATGCCATGGCTTGGGGCATAAGTACATATATAAACATAAAAGGAGCTCTGAAGGCATCGTGCATTCTGTGTTGTTTTACTCACTGAAAGGTCATTGGTTCGAATTCACCATCTACTCCTGGAGAAAGATGAACAGAGTCTTCTAAGGAGTTATAGACTCAGAAACCTCCTGGAAGGTTGCTGTGAGTTGGAATCACCTTGAGGTGGGTTGTGTGTGTGTTACGGTTGTTAGGTACCTTCGAGTTGAGCATGACACACAGAGACCTTATGAACAACAGACCTGAACCTTGTTGTATCCTGTGCCGTCCTCATCTCTGATAGACTTGAACTCATTGCTGTGGTCCCTGTGTGAATCTGTCTTGTTGAAGGTCTTCTCTTTTGCTGACTCTTCACCTTTCCCACCATGGTATCTTTTCCTAAGGGGTAATATTCCAACAACAATTCCAAAGTATATGTGCTGAAGTTTCACCATCTTTGCCTCTGACGAGCTCAACACCGTATTTGCACTTTCTCCAAGACATATTTCCTTATTCTTTTTGCAGTCCATGGCCTATTTCAGCACTCTTCCCCAACACCACAACTCAAAGGTGACAGTTCTTCTGTCATTCTTATTCATCATCTGACTCTCAGATGTATACATAGCAAGTCATTGAAAAGACCATGGGTTGAATCAGGTTCACCTTCGTCTTTAAACTTACCATTGCTCCTTAACATCCTGAAGAAGTCCTTGACAGCTGACTTTCCCATTGTAGTAAATCTTTCGATTTCTTGACTGCTGGTACCAAGGGTTTGATTGTCGATCCAAGTAGGATGAAATAGTTGACACCTTCGGTCTTTTCTCCATCACAGTGTTGCCTGTCGGCCCAGTGGTGAGGATTTTAAATCATGCTGTGTTCCCCCTTGTTCTATTTGAACAACAGCCTCTTGGTCTAGGTAGAGGTTTCACATGACCACAGTCAAGTGGTCTGGGATTCCCGTTCTTAATGTTAGACATAATACATGATCCAGACAGTCACATGCCTTTGCATAGTCAATAAACGCAAGCATTCTTCTGATGTTCTCTGGTGTTCAGCCAAGATCCATCTTAACATCAGCAGTGATGTCACAGCCTCTTCTAAATCCATCTTGAACTTCTGGCCGTTCTCTGTTACTGTACTGTTTTAGATGTTTTTAGATAATCTTCAAGATTTTACTTGTATGTGTTATTATTGATAATTGTTCAATAATTTCCACAGTTTGTTGAATCCTTTTTCTTAGCAATAGGTACAAATAGGAATCTTCTAGTAAGTTGATCAGTTCTTCCAAATTTCCTTGCACAGACTGGCGAGCACAGCCAGAGCTACATCTGTTTGCTGAAATATGACAATTTGGTATCCTATCAATTCCTAGGACCTTATTTTTTTGCCAGTGCCTTTCGTGTAGCTTGAACTTCTTTCACTACCATTAGTTCTTGCTTGAAGTGGTGTGCCAACCAATCCTTTTGGTACAGTGACTTGTATTGCCTCAATCTTCTTTTGCTGCTTCCTGGTTCATTCAAGATTTTGCCCAAAGCATCACTTCAGTATTGCAACTTGAGGCTTGAATTACTTTTTCTGTTCTTTCCGCTTGATATATGTATATGTCCTATGGAGAGGTTTTAGTTATTCTTTTAAATGTTACAGCAACAAGCTGTGCCTGACTCTGGGAAGAATGGGACTCCCAGAACACTTCATTGTACTTATGCAAAACCTAAACTTGGTCTAGAAGGCATTTGTTAGAACAGAGCAAGGAAATGCTGCATGGTTCAAAATCAGGAAGGGTGTATGCCAGGAATCTGTCCTGTCTCTATACCTTTTCAATCTATGTGCAGAACAGATAATTGATTATCTGGGAGGCTGCACTCTATGAGGAGAAATGTGGCATTAGGATTGGAGGAAGACTCATCAACAATCTGGGTTATGTAGATGACACAGCCCTGCTTGCTGAAACTGTAGAGGACATGAAGCACTTGCTGCAGAAGGTCAAAGACTGCATGCAACCTTCAATATGGATTGAAGCTCAATATCAAGAAAACAAATATTTTCACCACTGGGCCAATTGGCAGCAATAAGATGGATGGTAAAGAGATTGAGATTGTTAATAGCTTTAGTTTGCTTGGCTCCACAGTCAACACTCTTGGTACTAGCAGCCAGAAAATCAAAAGATGAATTGCATTGGGAAAGTCTGCTGTCGGGGACCTCTCCAGAATACTGAAAAGTCATGTCAGTCTGGAGACTAAGGTGCACCTGATTTAGGCCTTAGTCTTTGCAGTTACTTGCTATGCATCATTAGCTGGACAATGACGGGGGATGATAGAAGGAGAATTGATGCCTTTGAGCTGTGGTGCTGGAGAAGAGTGTTGAATGTACCATGGACTGCTAAGAGAACAAACAGATTTATCCTAGAGAGGGTGAAGCCAGGCTGCTCATTGGAGGCAAGGATTCTGAAGCTTCGTCTGACATACTTTGAACACGTTGCAAGAAGGAACCAGCCCTTCTAGAGGGACATCATGCTTGGGAGGGTGGAGGGACAGCGCAAGAGAGGAAGACCATTGATGAGATGCAGAGTTTAGAGCTGTTGTACATAGGGTTGCTATGAGTCACAGGCAACTCGACAGCACATAACAGTAACAAAAGCAAAAGTATATATAACAAAACTTTTACCATTTAAGCATTTCCACATAAACAGTTCAGTTACATTAAGACACGTGTGGAACTGTCACCACAATCCACTCCATTTTCAAGTTTTTTTTGTAATTTTTGACAAGCTCAGAGTTCCCAAAGCTATTCCTTCTTACTACCTGCCTTCTGCCCCTGAAAAGTACTTATTAACTTTGGCCTATTCTAAATATTTCATGTAAACGAGATTGTACAGTACTGATGCTTTTTATTCACCTAGTTTTAAAGAGAGATTTACGAATTCAAGGATATTGCCTTAAAATCAAAGGAATTGTTTCACTGTCAAAATACATGTTTACTGCCTGGAAGAAGTTGGCTTTAACTTTGAGAAAAAGTGATGCAAATTTATTTTTACTCTGCTTGTTTGGATAACTGAGAGTTTACTAAACAGATATTTAAGTTTATGTGAGTAGTGGTTTGAGCTTTTACTAGTCTTTGGGTAGTATTTGGCATGAAGGATTTTATTCGTCCTGTTTACACGAGATTTCTTTTGTTTTCAGATGGATGATAAAACAGTTTTTCACGAGGAGTTCATTCATTACCTTAAATACGCTCTGGTGGTCTATAAACGGGAACCGGCTGTGGAGAGGGTGGTAGAGTTCACGGCCAAGTTCGCTACTTCCTTTCACCAATCAGAGATGGAAACCGATGATGACGACGAAGAAGATGGTGGCATTTTGAATTACTTGTTTACTTTTCTCTTAAAGGTATTATGAAAACGAACACTTTGAGGGGATATAGAAAAATTTGCTGTGTTAGAAAGTGATGGGTGACGTATTTTAGAGAATGAAATAATCTGGTGGGTAAGAAAAGAGTATCGAATTGTGTAACATTTTTATTTTAATTTTTAAAGAGAAGAGCACACCGGGGGGGTCAGGGGTGGGCAGGGAGAAAAGTACAGCAACGGATGAATGGAAATCCAAAGTCTCTGTAAACTTTAATTAAAAATAATAATTATTATTAAAAAGTATGGAATTGAGACCCTCTTCAAGGAAAATATTGCAAAAAAAGTAAGATAAAAGCTAGACTTTTAAATAGTTTCAGCATTAAATTTTTTAATGATTTTTTTATCATTTTTATTTAAAATTCAAATTATTTGCCATGCATAAGCTCGTTTATTTTTTACAATGTGACTGCTGAAGCAGAAAAGTGAGACCTGAGGACCTGAGAGTCTAGAGTAATAGTCCTGCTGTGTGGTTGTTCAGTGGTCAGAGTTCCACTCGTCCACTTAAGGTTGTTGCTTAGCAAACAAGGGTCTCAGGAAGAAGGCTCCTGCGTTGTGTGGCAGGCAGAGCCTCCTCTTCACAGAGTTTGAGTACAGAGTGAGGTCTCTTGCTTCACCTCCACTCTTCCTCTCAAAGCACAAGCTGAAACCCAGTGCATTTAAATGTAACTTTTTAATTTTTGTCTTTGAAGATAAGGGCTAAAAAAATTCAAGGATTGTGTTTAGTTTACCTAGTGTCTCAAAATCACCTTACAGGGATATAATAATGTGTGCCACAATTCCTTTATGATATCGTGTATGTGTCACATCACTTTAAAGTGCTTTCTGCCATCGTCTATTTGTTGTAAATCTGTTGTTAGGTGCCTTGGAGTTGAGTACGACTCTTAGTGACCTTGTGAACAACAGATCTGAACCCTGGCCTGTCTTTTGCTGTACTCAGGATATCTGATACCCACAAGCCCATTTCTGCAGTCAGTGTGTCAGTCCACCTAGTTGAGGATCTTCCTCTCCTTTGCTGTCCCCCCACCTTCTGAAGCATGATATCCCTCTCTAAGAAATAGCCTCTCCTAGAAATATGCCCCAGGTATGTGAGACAGAACATCATCTTCACCTCCAAGGAGCACTCTGGCTGTTCCTTCTCCAAGACATAACTGTTCTTTTGTCTGTCAGTGAGATATTCAGCCTTCTCCTCCAACACTACAATTCAAATCCGTTTAGGGAGGTTTAATTGTATGTTTGTTCATATGATATACTTGAAATTTTTCTTATTATTTAGAAATTCCATATCTAGTTTGGAAGCAGAAGTGGCATATCACTTCCTAAACAACATGCCTCTGGAAACTCTTTGAACTTTGAGAAATGATAGTTATTGAAAGATTTCAGGTCTTTTGTTCACAGGGTCACTATGAGTCGTGCTTGACTTGACAGCAATCAGCAACAACAACATACCTAGGTATAATTTAGGGAACTCTGATGGCCAATGTGGCAAGGAGTTCCTTTGCTACCAAGGGAGAAAGATGGACAGTTCTTTGCATCTCAAAACCCACTGGAGGGTCAAGTCAGTTCCTACTTGACAGTCATAACATTAGCAGCTATAATTAACTACGGTATGCAGGTGCAATGCCAGTCATGTAGAGATTGTTTACCACTTTCTTCTGTTTACCAATATTTAGAAAATTACTGCATTATTTTTTGAACTTCACTTATGGCTTCCAATAGCTTTTAAGTTGCTAATGACATATTTCTTATTAGAGCCCTTCACAGAAATCTCTGTGTATTGCTATTGTATTGTATAAGTCAGTTGTACATACGCATTTTGAAAACGAAAGCATTATGAAAGCCTGTGTGCTTTGAGAACATTATATAGGCATTCATAAAACTACAAGCCATTTATTAAATGCATTTGTTTATAATGAGTTCTGTGTTTTAGAAGGAAAGTAAGAGTTCCTTCCACGATTGTCTTAGTTATTTAGTGTGTCTGTTAACAGATACCACAAATTAGTTCCTTAAACATTTTATTTTGTTTAGGAGCCTACAAGTTCAAGTTGCGAGCGCCCGCTCTTGAGGAAGATACTCTTTTTCTGGCTGCTCTAGTCTGTCAACTCTGTTTGAGCTTCTACTCCTGGGCAGTTTGCAAGTGGCTTGACATCTCCTTTATTCCATCACTGCCTCTTTGCTTTTTGTTTAATCTCTTTTATGTCTCGAAACCAGGTGAAAATAGGCCCTAAACTAATCCCATGATAGTAACATTACAGAGACAGTTCATTTGCACATGAGCTTAAAAACACATGTACAGAAATTAAGAATGATAGCACAAATTTTGGGGGACATAGTTCCATCTTTAACAAATGGACATAATACTCTTTTATAATTACCAGACTAGATATGCCTTTTTAGATTGTATGAAATGTATAAGTGACTGAGCAATTTAGTTTCTTGTGTAGCATTAGATTTCTTGTCAGAAGAGAGTCAGCCTTCTGAATTCATGTGAAATTCTATGCTGTGTGATTATGAAGGAATGGTACGTGACTGTCAGTACCTTTTCATCTGTCTCTCTGTCAGTCTCATGAAGCAAACAGCAATGCAGTGAGGTTCCGAGTGTGTCAGCTCATAAACAAGCTCTTGGGAAGTATGCCGGAAAATGCTCAGATTGATGATGATTTGTTTGATAAAATTAATGGGGCCATGCTTATTAGACTGAAAGATAAAATCCCAAACGTGAGAATACAGGCAGTTCTGGCTCTTTCACGACTTCAGGACCCCAAGAGCGACGAGTGCCCAGTGGTTGATGGTATGTACCGCTTTTGAAAGCTGCTTTTTTATGTTTGCTATTAAGTTTTGTTTGATTCTACTCAAAGCTCAGTAGTATGGGATTTTTTTTTAATATATAAATTATGAACCATATTTGTAGAAGAGTGGGAAAAGGGGCTGTGATAACAGAGGCTTACCTGTTGTACTGCGAACCAGAAGGTCTGCTGTTGGGACCCACCAGCTGCTCTGTACAAGAAAGAAGATACAGTCTCCTCCTGGAGTCGACTTGATGACCGATAATAGGGAGTGATGTTTTAGTTTGGTGGTGTAAGCAGTTAAGTGTTTGGCAGTTAACCAGAAGATTGGTGGCTCAGTAGCTCCACAGGAAAAAGTCCTGGTCATCTGCTTCTGTAAAAGTTAAACATAAAAACCACTGCTATTGATTGCTTTCCAACTCCTTATGACCCACCATGGGCTTCTGAAGCTGTAAATCTTGACTAGACAAATCTGTCCATCTTTTGCTGGTGGATCTGCTGGTGAATTTGAACGACTGAGCTTGAGGCTCGCAGCCCGACTTCTAGAAAATGCCACAGGTCTACTGTTCTCACATGGAGTTGCTGTATTTTTGTGAATCGTTGCACATTAGTTTCTTGTTGTCTCACAGACTTTACTCATAGTTGTGGGGTTTATTAGGAATACAAGTTGGAAGGTGGGGGGGGAGGTAAAGAAAACCTAAAATGTTATTACAGAATTAGGCCAGCAATCCCAATTCAGAGTAACAAGGCACAATTCCTCAGTATAGTAATTGATAGTATGAATTCAGTTCAAAGCAAGAAGGCTCTGGCATCTAGCAAACTTTGTCTCAGAGCAACTGTAAAACAGCTTTTTCTTCAGTCAATCTGGCTGTGACATAAATGCAGGATTCCTCTGGTTACATCTTGCCAGTCTCTTCACAGCAGTGCCATAGTCTCCACCCTCTCTCCACCACCATCTCCAGGGTGCCTCACAGTGTGGTGAGCTCTCTTATATTAGTCCTGCAGCTGTTGATGATCTGAAGGAGAATGTATCTACAGTTAAGATACCTACAGCCCCTGCCTCTCAGTGCAGGCTAATGCAGTGGCTGGAAAAGCCAGTTTTCAAGGGTTCAGACACTCCAGTGGGAATCCCAAAACACTTAGTTGTGCTCATATAATATCTATACCTAGACCAAGAAGCTGTTGTTCAAACAGAGCAAGGAAATCTACAAGGCTTAAAATCAGGAATGATGTGTGTCAGGATTGTATCCTTTCTCCATACCTGTCATACCTATTCAGTTTGTATGCTGAACAAATAATTTGTGGAGCTGGACTCTGTGAAGAGGAATGTGACATTAAGATTGGAGGAAGACTCATCAATAACCTGTGTTACGCAGATGACACAACTTTGCTTGCTGAAAGTGAAGAGACTATGAAACACTTGCTTCAGAAGATCAAAGACTACAGCCTTAGGCATGGATTACATTTCAGCATCAAGAAAACAAAAGTCCTTACTGCCAGGCCAACAATCAACTTTATGGTAGATGGAGAAAGGATTGGATCTGTCAGTGATTTAATTTTTCTTGGATCTACATCAGTATACTTGGTACCCGTAGTCAGGAAATCAAGAGACATATTGCATTTGGCACATTTATTGTCCGGAACCTCCCCAGAATGCTGAAGAATAATGATACAAGTTTGAAGACTAGGATGTGGCTTTTTCAGGCCCATAGTCTTTTCAGTTACTTGCTATGCATCAGAGAACTGGACAGTGCGTAAGGATGACAGAAGAAGAATTAATGCCTTAGAATTGTGATATTGGAGAAGAGTATTGATCATATCATGGACTACCAAAAGAACAAACAGTTTATGTCTTGGAAAAAGTGTAGGCAGAGTGCTCTGTGGAAGCAAAGATAGTGAGCTTAGTCTTGTAACACTTTGGACATGCAGCTAGGCGGGACTGTTCCTTGGAAAGGGCCATCATGCTTGGAAAAATAGAGGGTCAGTGAAGGAGAAGAAAACCCCAACAAGTTGGATTGACACAGTGACCTCAGCAGTGGGCTCTAGTGTGTCACAGGATTGGTCAGCAGGGTTTAGGTTGGCTGTTCCTAGGGTCACTATGAGTCATACTCAATGGCACCTAACAACAACAACTTTTGATTGTTTTACTTTTGGGGGGTACTTTTTGTTGAACAGAAATTTCTAGTATCAGTAATGACCAGTTTCTTCTTTTATAGTCTGTACTTAAGAACTACATCTCTAAGAATAGAAAGTAGTCATACTTTACTCTTCCATATTAGCCAAAGGATATTTCAGACAGTCTTACTTTATTATTCTGCTTGTTACTTTATAGTCATTCTGGACACTGGTAATGTTACTATTGCTGTTAGGTGCTACTGAGTTGCATATTACAGCGACACTGTGAACAGCCAGCCTCAATCTTGTCCTATCCTGTGCCTTCTCCCTTTCTGACACTGGTAATGGTTGATATTTTAGGGCACATTTAAGTACAGGGAATGGGCTTTGTTTCAAGTAATGAAACCAGGTAGTTACTTCATTATGCTGTTATTGTTAGGTGCCAGCGTGTTGACTACAACAACCCTGTGAACGACGAGTCAGAGCCGTGCCCTGTTAAGTGTTATCCTCATGATCCTTGACGTGCCTGAGCTGATTGTTGGAGTCTTTGTGTCAGTCCATCCTGCCAGGCTCTTCCTTTCTTTCTTTGACCTTCCCCAGCATGATGTCGCTTTTCATTTTAGGACTTACTCCTGTAAATAGGACTTTTTCCTCATTTTTTTAAAGGATTTTTGAAATCAAAATAATAAGTTATTATAGATTCGTATGTAAAATAAGCCTTCAGCAGTCCAAGATTTACGTGTACATACCAAGGAATAGCAGAGATCTAATTGTGATGGGATTGTTGAACTCTTTGGGGCCTTTTCTTGTCTGTCTTCTTCGTTAGGCCCCTTCTGTTGACTCACTTCTTGTTCTCTCCTGGGACAGTGACTGCCACAGTGGGCTGTAGTATGTCAGGAAGGGTGAGGATGGCAAAAGACAGGATAGGATTCAGATCTGTACACAAGGTCGCTGTGGGTTGCGCTTGACTTGACAGCACCTAACAACAACAACAACCTTGGAATAGAAGTTAAAGGGAAAAGTGTTCAATTAAATATGTGACACTACCCTGCTTGCTGAAACTGAGGAGGACCTGAAGCACCTGCTTCAGAGGGTCAAGGACTGCAGCCTCCAATATGGATTGAGGCTCAATGTCAAGAAGACAAAGATTCTCACCACTGGGCCAATTGGTAGCGTCAGGATGGATGGTGAAGAGATTGAGATTGTTCACAGCTTTAGTTTGCTTGGATCCACAGGCAACACTCTTGGCACCAGCAGCCAGGAAATTAAAAGGCACATTGCCATGGGAAAGTCTGCTGTTAGGGACCTCTCCAAAGTACTGAAGAGCAATGGTGTCTCTCTGGAGACTAAGGTGTGTTTGATACAGGCCATGATCTTCACAATCACTTGTTATGCATCAGAGAGTTGGACAATGACCAAGGAGGATAGAAGGAGAATTGATGCCTTTGAGTTGTGATGCTGGAGAAGAGTATTGAGAGTACCATGGACTGCTAGGAAAGCAAACAGATTCATCCTGGAACGGGTTAAACCGGGTGGCTCCTTGGAGGCAAGGATTCTGAGGCTCCGTCTCACATACTTTGGACATGTTGTGAGGAGAGACCGGTCCTTGGAGAAGGACATCATGCTTGGTAGGGTGGAGGGACGGCGCAGGAGAGGAAGGCCCTCTATGAGGTGGATTGATTCAGTGAGTGGGGTAATCGGGATGGGAGTGTCAGAGACAGTGCGATTGGCACAGGACAGAGCGGAGTTTAGGGCTGTTGTACATAGGGTTGCTATGAGTCGCAGGCGACTCGACGGCACATAACAACAACAAAAGAAATTGCTGTATATATTCATTTTTAAAGATCATCTTGAAGTATCAAAATGTAAGTTATTTTATGACTATAACTGCTTTTATGTACTAAAAATACACTGCTCTATTTTTAGCATATTCTGCTTTGATTGAAAATGATTCAAATTCAGAAGTGAGGCGAGCGGTGCTGTCATGTATTGCACCATCAGCAAAGACTTTGCCAAAAATTGTAGGGCGCACCAAGGATGTGAAGGAGGCTGTCCGAAAGCTGGCTTATCAGGTAAATATGGCCGGTATCTTATGTTGGCATTTAAAAAAAAATAGTTTTGTTATTGAGAAATAAACTCAACAGAATGTCCACCAATTCAGCAGTTTCTCTGTGTCCAATTTAGTGGCATTGTGCTCTTAGGGTTTTCAGTTAACCCTACTCTCCTTTTTAGAATTGTTCTTTCTCTGTTAATGTAAGCTCACTGTCCCCTAAATTTTCTGTCTCATCTTTCAAGTTGCTATTGTCAGTTTGATCCTAGACAGGTTTTTAAAATGGCATGATGCTCAACACAGATATGTTTTATTACTCAAGCTAAACTAGATTTTATGTTAGGAAAAATTCAGAAAATGTTTGTAATTTGAGATTTTAAGATTGTCTCAGGAACTAGTTCCAGGGGTTAACGGAATCTCCCTAAAGATGAAGTTTTAATTCTCTTATGCATATTCTACCATTTGTTGAGGATTCTTCTGTAGAATGTAATAAAAACGTTCAATTATGATAGTTACTCACTGTATTGTCCTTCTGGTCTCATGGCTAAGGTAGCATTTGTTCGTGGAGGCAGTTAGCCATACATGACATTTCTTTCCCCTTTTCCTAATTATCCTTACTCTTCTGTGTGCAGACATTCTTAAAAGGCAAGACTCTAGTCTTAAAGTACTTTTATTGTAAAATACTTGGGAAAATAATATGAATTTCTCCATTTCACATTTTTATACAGAGTATAAGCCGTTTAGGTAGAATCTTAGTACATCAAATATATTAGCAGATATCATTTGTTTTGGAGAGTCTGTAATTCTGTGAAGCAAATGCTATTATGCAATCTTGACATTGTGTTGACTTTAATGAACGTCCTTTTTTCCCCTCCTCCTCCTTGAAGGTTTTAGCTGAAAAGGTTCATATGAGAGCTCTGTCCATTGCTCAGAGAGTACTGCTTCTTCAACAAGGTCTTAATGACAGATCAGGTGAGACACACATCTCTTTATCTCTAAAATGTTGCTGTTATGTGCTCTCCAGTGAAAGCCAACACATAGCTGTCCTTCCATGGGTGGGAAGAAATCTCATGGAAGGAGATTGCCCATCATTCTTCTGCAGGGCAGCGAATGGATTCGTACCACGTGCCTTTGGGTTGGCAGCATAGCTCCTTATCATTAGACCAGCAGAGCTCTTAGTAGATTTTAAGCTTTGGAAATCTCATGAGACAGTTTGGTTCGTCTCACAGAGCCTGTGAGTCAGAATTCCCACAACAGCAGTGGATCTGATCTGAGTTGGTCATACGTGGCGTTCCCATGAGTCAGAATCAATTTGACCTAACAATGCATCTCACCACAGTGCAGTTTGGAGCCTAATACCTGAAGCTCAGCGGACCAGGGAGGAAATGATGTCAAAATTACTGTAGTGTGTGGTAGTGGTTGGGCATTTGGTTCTAAGCCATAATGTCTTTTGCAGTATTTTTGGTTTTTCTTCTCCAATATGCTTCCCCCCCCCTTAATCTCTACTTATTTTTATTGTAACTATTTATGTTAGCATTGATCTGTTAAAAGTTCAATGAAATAGTCAAGATGTAGTGGAAGGAAAGGGAGACTATTGACCTGCTTTAAACGACTTGACAGATGCCGTGAAACAAGCGACACAGAAGCATCTTCTCCAAGGCTGGCTGCGTTTCACTGAAGGGGACGTTTTAGTGTTACTTCATCGGTTGGATGTGGAGAACTCTCCTGAAGTGGCTGTGTGTGTCCTCAGCGCCTTGTTTTCAGTGATTCCTCTTGCTGATCTAGTGGAGGTCTGTAGGAACGAAGATAACAAGTAAGTAAAGGATTCGCATTGAAATGCGATACTGGTAACAGCAGTTAAAATGAGGGTGTTTTTATTTTCCTTGTTCTGATGGACACCTTTTCTTTTTTCTTCTGTTTTTTTTTTTTTTTTTTTACCTAGTATTAAGGATTTATTATCATTGACTGCATTTTACTTGAGTTCCCTGGCTTCCCATATTATTTTTTTTTTAATTACTCTGTGATGAAAAAAAAATCCAGTTATTTGTCTCTATTGTTTGTTTGCTTACTTGATTACTTTTTGGGGTCAGAGTTTCTTATTGTTTAGATAAGCGAATGACTTCACAGTTAAAAAGAATAGTGATTATGAACCAAATCTGTTACTTGTTTTTAACTTTATATTAAAACTATACTTTCTCCCTTTTACATAAAGGAAATTAATTCCAGTAGAAACATTAACTCCTGAACTTGCATTGTATTGGCGTGTCCTTTGTGAACATTTAAAATCGAAAGGAGATGAAGGTGAAGAATTTTTAGAGAAAATTCTGCCAGAGCCCGTTATATATGCAGAATATTTACAAAGGTAAAATTTCTTGATTTCAACTGTGCTTGTGTTGCAGCATGCATGAGCTTCTAGGACATTCTCTCAGAATAAGGCTTGATTTGAAACTATTGAAAAATAAGTTTTTGGGACAAATAGGTATGAACATTAGGTTTTTCTGAAAAATACCCTGTGTTGAAAGACCAAAGTAAATATTTTAGGGGTCATTTTCTCAAAACTTATATTGTGATTATAAATATTTCTCGATAAAATGGATAATACGAAAGTGATACATTTCCAATTGATTAAAAAAACATTAATGTACCCTGTCGTACATATTTTTGGCTTTGGGGCTCTTTATTTTTATGGTCACTGAAATTTTAACTTCATATTAATTTGGTGTATCTTGGTTTGCTTGGTGATTTGTAAATGTGAAAATCAGTTCTGGCGTGAGAATGAGAGCTGTGCAAAATGAGAACCATCCACAATGGGAGTGTGAGTCTTGGTGCCAAGTTTCTTAATATGTGAAAATGGCTGCTGCCTTTTCCTCCCCTTAAATTGATTTGATTACTCTGATTCATGCTTTAGTTTAAGAAATTAGGTAAAACATAGAAAGATAAATGCACACTTCCCCAAAGAAGGCGTTCAGATGGCCAACAAGCACATGAAGAAATGTTCAAAATCCCTAGCTCTAAGAGAGATGCAAATCAAGACAACTATGAGATATCATCTCACCCCAGTCAGAATAGCAAAATTTAACAGAAGAGCAAGCAACAAATGCTGGCGAGGTTGTGGAGAAACTGGAACCCTTATTCAATGTTGGGAGTGTAAAATGGTGCAACCACTGTAGAAAGCGGTGTGGCGCTTTCTCAAAAAGTTGCAAATAGAGATACCATTTGACCCAGCAATTCCACTACTGGGAATATACCCCAAAGAGACCATAAATGACATCCAAGCAGATATATGCACACCCATGTTTATTGTGGCTTTGTTCACAATGGCAAAGAGTTAGAAACAACCTAAGTGCCCCTCAACAAACGAATGGATAGAGAAGCTGTGGTATATTCACACAATGGAATACTACACAGCATTGAAAAACAAGGAACTCATGCACTATTATTCAAAATGGGTGACCCTGGAGGACATTATGCTGAGTGAAATATCTCAGTCACACAAGGACAAATATTGCATAGTGCAACTGTTGTAAAACAGGACTGACCTCGGGGTTGGGGAGAGACTCAGAAAGATGGGTTAAATAATGTATACTGCATTGAAACAGATGAGGAAGAAAACTGTTTGAAAGGGACATGTGATTAGGTATTGTCATGACAGGAGTGCAGAATGAAGGCTACTTAGTGGAGTGGACCTGGGGGGAGGGATTGTAAAACAATGAAAAAATTTTACTTTTCACAGAGAAGAGTGTACTGGGAGGCAGAGAGGGGTGGGCAGGGAGAAAAGAGCAATAATGAATGAAAATCCAAAGTCTCCGTAAATTTTCATTAAAATTAATAATAATAAAATATTTTAAAAAGATAAATGCAGAAATATATAGAATAAAAATGAAATTTTCCTTTTATTTCCTGCTTAAATTTTACCAAATCCTTACTATGTAAACAATTTTTTAGTGTATTTAAAATCTGTTTCTTGACATTTATAGTTCTATTAAATGCAGTGGAGGCAATGAGGATAGGTGTATCAGAGTCACTAACATTGGTTCAGGATAGGACAAGGTTCAGAGTTTTTTGTGTAGGTTTTTTAAAAAATTTTGAGTAGTTTATTTTTTAATCTAGTTATTTTAAGAACATCAGACTCCATTATCAATGAGAGATCTGCTTACAACTTTGATCCCTTCCCTCACTTGTTCTTTCAATTTAAGTCAAATGCATTTATTACTCAGGAATTTTCCTAGTTTTAAAATCTTTTGAGAGAGCTCTGGTGGCCTAGTGGCAAGAAGCTGCACTGCAATCCCTGAGGCACCTGGTTCACATCCACCAGTTGCTCTGCTGGAGAAGGAGGGGTAATCTTCTCCTGTACCAGTCAGATCAGATTTGATGGTACACACACAAAAAAGAAAAAAAAATATTAAAAAGTGTTAAAAAAGAAATCTCTTTTAAAAGGAAAGTCATAATTCTCATACAAATATTAAACGTGTGTCAAAAATATTATTTAACTCATTAACTAATGAAGGAACCAGTAAGATATTACAGGTTCATAAAGTGGTCAAAAAACAGATATTTACAAGCACTCAGGAAATGATGGATTTTTAAAAAAGCATTTTTAAAAAATGCTGGACAACATCCACAGGGCAATAATTAATTGAATCTTCAGTGAACACAGTTTGCGTTATATAGACACTGTTAATCTGAATTAAAATCAGCATTCACCATTGTGTACATTCTCCATGTTCAGTAGCTCAAAGACAACCCCAGGCTCCCAATAAATGTTTTAAAAGAAAAAAATTTAAAATCTGTTTAATAATAATTAAAAAAGTTACTATGAAGTCTTTTGCAGTTTGTTCTCAGCCTGGTTTTAGGAATGTGTTATGGCCCCTGAGTGAGAAGTCCCTGGCACGTGTAGGGAACAGAGAGAAAACCCGCAACTGGAGCAACAGGATGAGGGAGTGATGCGGGTGGTAGAAAATAAGTTTGTATATGTAGGTAGGGTCCAGGTCCATTGGAGGTCTGAACATCATACTGATGGAGAGATCCGAACAACAAGGAAACTGGTAAGGGTCAGAGACAGAGGAGAGAAATAACTTTAGATTCTAACAGCAAGAGAACTGACTTATTGTCAGAGACAGGAGAGAAACAACCTTCGAAAGTGGAAGGAGATGCAAGATGGGCTCCGGTACAGGGAGATCTGTCGGTATTCTGATAGGAAGATGATAAGTTCATTTCTCATGACTTCTATTTTCATAATTAAGGATAAATCATCAGCTGAGTGAGGGTGTGGGGCATGGTATGAGATGCTGAGCGAAGCATCGCCACGAGCAGCAGCTGCCTTCCGCAGCATGGTGATCAGACACGGCCTGGACGAGGTGGTTCTTAGTCTGGGAACTTCCAGTGGGATGGCTCCCAGAGCGCCTCCTGTGATTATGTGGAGAGATCGCAGGTTCAGAGTTATTGTACTTAGGGTCACTATGGGTCCTTGGTGACTTGATGGCACATAAAACAACAATATTAAATACATGCTTTTTAAAAGTACAGGACTTAAATTTCAGTTTCCCCCCACTTATTTATACCTTGCTGGTTAACAAGGTATTCAGGAAATAAAGAGACATAGTGCACTGGGAAAATCTGCCGCTGGGACCTCTCCAAGTTATTGAGTAAATTATGTCAGTTTGAGAACTAAAGTGCGTCAGATTCTGGCCATAGGCTTTTCAATTACTTACTGTGCATCTGAGAGCTAGACAGAGAATAAGGATAACAGAATAAAGAATTGATGCCTTTGAGCTATGGTGTTGGAGAAGAGCACTGAGCATCCCATAGATGTCTAAGAGAACAGATAGATAGTCTTGGAGAAGGTACAGTCAGAGTGCTCTTTGCGGGCAAGAATGTTGACGGTTTGACTCACATACTTTGAGCATGTTGCTAGGAGGGTTATTCCCTGGAGAAGGACATGATGCTGGGAATGGTGGGGGGTTGGTAAAGGAGAGGAAGACCCTTGACCACATGGATTGACACAGACAGTGACTGGTGCAATGGGCTCTTGTGTGGCAGGAAGTGTGACGATGGCACAGGATAGAACAGGGTTCAGATCTTTTGTTCATAGGATCGCTATGAGTCGTGCTCCACTGGGCAGTACCTAACAACAACTACATTTCTATTTGGGGAGCTCGAAGTGGAGAATGAAAAGGGCAGAACTCACTCAACACTTGTCAGCCTAGAGGAGAACTGGAAAACAAATATAAGCCTCATAATGCAATATTGAAGGATGTGATGGGCAAGATGTTGAGTGATCCAGGAACCATCAAAAAAAGTTGGGGAGAATTCACAGAGTCACTGTACCAAAGAGAATCTACTGACACTGAAAAATTTCAGGAAGTACCATATGAGCAAAAGCCAGTGGTAATGAAGGAAGAAGTTGAAGCTGCATTGAAGGCATCGGCAAGAAATAAAGTCTCAGGAGTCAATTGGATACCAGTTGACACCTTCCAGCTAACAGATGTAACCTTGGCGGTCTATGCCAGGAAATTTGGAGGACAACTGACTGGAAGAGATCCATATTTGTTCCTATTTCCAAGAAAAGTAATCCAACAGAATGTGGAAATCATCGAATAATATCACATGCAAGTAACATAGTGCTGAAGATGTCCAAAAAGAATTAGAACAGTTTATAGATAGGGAAGTGCCAGAAGTTTAAATAGGATTTAGAAGAGGCTGTGGCACCAAGGATATCATTGCTGATATAAAATTGATCCTGGCTGAAAGTAAAGAATACCAGAAGAATGTCCATTTATTGACTATAAAAAGGCATTTGACTGTGTGGCACATAACAAATTATGGTTAACATGGAATGGAATGAGACTAGCAGAACACTTAATTGTGTTCATATGACATCTATACCTAGACCAAAAGACTTATGCGAATGGAGCAAATAAGTCCTGTGTGGTTAAAAATTGAGAAAGATGTACATCACGGTTGTTTCCTTCCTCTATACCTATTCAGTCTGTATGTTGAGCAAATTATTCAAGAAACTGGATTCTGTGAAGAAGAATATGGCATCAGGATTGGCAAAAGACACATCAATAGCCTGTGTTACAAAGGTTACACAACATTGCTTGCTGAAAATGAGGACATGAAGTGCTAGCTGCAGATGAAAGAATGCAACCTTAAACACGGCTTGCATCTCAGCATCAAGAAAACAAAAATTCTTACCGCTAGACCAATAGGCAACATCATGATAGATGGAGAAAAGCTTGGAGTTATCAACAGTTTCCTTTTGCTTGGCCCCACCAGCACCCTTGTTACCAGCAGTCAGGAAATAAGTCTGATGTCAGGGACGTCTCCAGATTATTGAGGAGCAGTCCAATTAGAAGGCTA